TCTATAATCTTTATGTGAAATTTCAAACCGTACTTTCATATACTTTTATTGCGGAATGGTTTCTTGTATATGTATATACAGCAGATTTTATGCATTTATGAGAAAAAGATGTGTGAATATTTTTATGATTCAAAATACTGTTACATCGTTAGCATGTTACTAAATTTATTAACAGAGGATATATATTTTTATTCGACTTTNTCTATAATCTTTATGTGAAATTTCAAACCGTACTTTCATATACTTTTATTGCGGAATGGTTTCTTGTATATGTATATACAGCAGATTTTATGCATTTATGAGAAAAAGATGTGTGAATATTTTTATGATTCAAAATACTGTTACATCGTTAGCATGTTACTAAATTTATTAACAGAGGATATATATTTTTATTCGACTTTTGTTTAGTGCAATCGAGGTATACAGTTTTTATTTTCCATAAAGATCCGCTATCTACTTATAATATCGGCATTTGCGCCATTGGAATGCGAATATGGAAAAGCTGAATAATTTACCAAGCTACCTTGATTAAAGGTAAAAAGTTTTCCCTCACAATTTGAGACCATGGTATTGTATGCATATGCTGTATGGTGTCCTCGTAATAAGAGAAAATATTCTAGTCAGGTTGAAACAATAAGAGAAAGAGAGAGGGAGAGTTCGACATAACATAAAAAGTAAGAGGTTCGAACGGACGTAATCGGTGTTGCGACACCTCACGTGCTAAACTACTCTTGAGAAGTTTTTATAGTAACTGACATGCTGCAAGCATTTGCCTGTACGTTCTGATATCTGAGTGAGGAAACGCCGTGTTGTTAGTTAGTCATATTAATGTATAAAAAATATTATATTTATTTATATTAATTATATTAATTAATAATAATATTAATACTATATTTATTCTTATATTATGATACTATATTATTCTTCATTATACAAATACATTGTTCACGTAAATAGATCGATCTAACATGATTTATTTACAACATTATTTATTGTACAAATTATTGATGAGGTAATCTAGTGATTTGACAATTTGGTTAAGTAATTGTTCTATTATCGGGACACTTGTGTTTTCCTAATTGCTACGGATAAATCGAGAGATTCTGATGTACTTCGAAAGATTTAAATTTCTTTAGCCTAGTACAAAAATGAAGTTCTTTAATATTATTAATAATATTTGTAACTATTAAATCAATGATAGAGGAAGTCCAAAATAACAAGAGATTGATAATGATTTTTTTATCAACCCTTTGTAGCTCGGTTTTCTAATATCGGTTTAATAATATTTATTTCACGAAATGAGCACATGATGAATCTCTAGATATAAATTAACAATAAATTTACAAGTACCAATTTCAACAACTTTGTATAACATTTATTAATAACAAACTTAGAAGCAAGAGGAAAACTAATTTGAGAAATTGTCGTTTAATTAATAATTTTATCTAATAATTTCGATCAATAAGTAATATTCCACTTTCTGAAACGTAATCTCCTGTTTCTCATCTTATTTGCCAAAAATATATTTAAATAAAAATCGACTGACGCTAATTAATAGTTAAAGTAGTTATTCTATATACATTTATATAGATATTCTATATACATTTGTTCTATTAAATATATCGTAAACGTGTCGATTATTTCGTGCAGTAGCATTCACCACCGCCAGGATTCATTACGGGTGACCGAATCAATCGATGGTACCTTAGATTGATTCCATTGAAATTGCAACACCTATTTAATTGATTCGTTGCCAATAAGAGGCGACAGGTAATTGCAAGGATCCTTTCTGGACGTTTCCTTTCCTTGACGCGTTTGTTGTGAACGTGAAATTACTTTTAATGATCGGTTACCTTCACCCTGTTTACTCTGGGCAGGAAGTTTCTCCAGAACAATGATCCAATGACAGCCTTCGTATATTTCATCATAGATGCTAATATGTAATGTTTACCTGGGTCTGAAGAATGGGACATGGACACTAGAAATCTCTATAGGATTACATATTTAATGGACGTTATGTGAGAAATCATTTTATCTACAATTTAAACGGAGTATATAATTTGCGAACATTGAATATTTATAAATTTCAGTGAATATTTAGCATTTTATAGTATTGTATTGTATAATATTACGAAC